TTCCTTATTCAGTTAATGAAAGTGGCATGCAAATACCTGTATTTCTACAAGTATGCTTCTAATCTACAGCTTCGGGTTTGGTTACTTGTGCTTGCCCATACGTGCTCCTGTCTGGACAGTGGACAGTGGACAGTAGAGAGTGTTGGCTCTGTTTTGATAGAATATGATGCTGCATTATCAAGCATCAATCTAGAAACTGTCAAATTCTCATTGAATATTGGATTATGTTGTACCGTGTCGCGGATCATGCTAAGCATGCTAGCAGTATGAAAATAGAATATTAAAAAAGAATACAGGCAGCATCTGAATATGAACTCAGTTGATCATTCCCCTTTTTCTACATTTATGATTATCGCCTTCTCTTTCATATACTCGTCATATTTGCAACTTCGTACCGAACTTCTCAAGGAAGTCAGAGTTAGGATGATCCAACGAACAAGACCATCAGTATATTTATCATCAATCTCTTTATTCAGTCTATTTTGGTAATATATGCTTACCAACCTATGACACTAAAGGGTGGCAACCTTCAGTGCCAGAATTCAATTCTTAGTGAATAATGGGACGGTTGGCTTCTGGATGCTAACAAATTATTGGGTCTCATGCGTTGCTATGGGACATTTCCGGATGAGATAAAACATTTAATTTGGTGATCAAATGCTTCTGCTGTGCTGGATATCTTGAAATGTTGATGAGAGTTTTTATGCCTTAGGCCATGAACTGAAGTCCATTGCTGATTTACCTCGGACAGATGATCGATGATCTCTTTACATTTTGTAACTAAATTGTCAACACCATGTCGACTTTCTGTATTCCATCTAAATGTTGATGCACGTGTAAATGAGATGGATTACTGTTGCGTCTTGTTTCATCTACATTAGTTTAGAATAATTTTGTTCATAGAAAATTACTAGAACACTCACAATGGGTCGGGCCCCATGTGAATAAAATATGGGAAAAATTCATTTATCCTACTTTATCTTTACTCTATTTCAAAAATAACAAAACAACTTTCACATTTCAAAAATCAGATATCTTAACCTATACATACACATATATATAAATATTTAT